CTCTCTCTCTCTCTCTCTCTCTCTCTCTCTCTCTCTCTCTCTCTCTCTCTCTCTCTCTCTCTCTCTCTCTGACAAAAAAGAAAAACAACAAAAAGAATAAAGAAAGAAGAAAGGCGATTGATACGAGTGCCAATGACAACGTCTCGAGACTCGCGAAAAGCGGAAAGACGACCTACAACCGGTGTCCCGCGATAATTCCGCCGCGAACAATTGCGACTTCATCGGACGTCGATTAATTAAGCGCTCGACCAGTGAGTCATTTAATTTACCAAACACAAGCGCGCGCTGTGCGCACTACGTAGATCTGTTGTCATTTTCGAAAAAATTGAAAAAAAGACACACGTTTTAACATTCGTTTAACATTCGTTAAAATATGTAAATTATTTATAATTATTGTGTAATAGAATTATATATTTAAATTATTTATAATTATACAATAATAAAAATTTCTTTAAGTTTAATTGTACGTATTTCTTAATGCATACGTAACTTTCGCTTGTCAAAATTGATTGTAAACATTTCTCCAAGTGACACACATTGACACAGACTTGAGACGGGCGCGTTACCGCTTCCCTCATCCTTCGTAGGCAAATGCTATCCATCCTAGTGACAGTCCTGAAGTCTGTTCTTCTCAGCTGCACTGCTGCACTGATGCAATAAGTTAAAGTGAGACAAAAAGTCTGTTCTTTCGCTCTGCACTGCTGCACTGGCGCAATAAGTTAGAGTGAAACAAATCTATATATGTCTCACTCTAATTTGTTGCACCAGTGCAGCAGTGCAGAGCGAAAGAACAGACCTTTTGTCTCACTTTAACTTATTGCACCAGTGCTGCAGTGCAGCTGAAGAGAATAGTAGACCACTTATCTCAAACCGTCGAGGTGCGCGATCGCTGCGGCGACAACTTTGCGCCACGAAGCGAGAGAACCGGTCGGCGTCGCGTACAAACGAGGCAAACAATGGACAATGGAGCTTCGATACTTTCGAGAGGACTTCGATGTCTCTCGAGTTTCGAATTGACACGCTTTTTCTTCAGATAAGAAGGAGTGTGAGTAATCAAAGGAGGCGATTCGTGCGCCATTTCTTATAAAAGGAAAGAATCGACGAAGTCCAGAGTGTAAAAAGCACAGAGGCCGTGCGAGAATAAGAAAGAGAGAGAGTATTCCGAAATGTAACATCCGAAGTATTACTATTACAAAATTCATCAGCTCGCGTGGCCTCCGCGCTTTCGCGATTCTTCTTCTGTTTCTGTCCCGCTTTTCACGAATTCTCGCGTTAGTTCGTAAAGTCGGTATGTCTTCTCACCGACGACGATGCAATTCTCGTCGGCGAGGGTGAGCGGAAAGTCGAGGAAAACGAGAGAAAAGGAAAAGTGGAGAACCAGAGGGGTTGAGGGGAGCGTTGCAGCAGTGCCAATAATAACGAGATGCCGCAGATTCATTAATTTCTACGCTTAGATGAGAAGAATCGACCTGCGTGTGGCATAGTCGGAAGGATCGAACGCTGCTCACGAGTTTCTGCGATCGAATAATTCGCGAGAGGAAAGAATTTAGTGAGCAAATTGATAGCAGAGTGTGCGCAGATTGGCAGCAAATTTGATCAGAATCGCAAATCAAAACTATAGCCATCTTCGTTCGCATTCAATTTGTATTTTAGCGTGAGAGTCTGCTGACAGGCAATGCGAGCAGATTGGCGCAGATTCTGTTGCGCAGCAGAGTCTACTTGGTTTCTACTGCCAATCTGCTCGGATTGTCAGCAGGTTCTATCACATTTGGGCAGTTTGGCGACATAATCAGATATAACAAATTCTGTGTTGGATTTGCTGCTTTTCTGCCATCAAAAATTTGTAGTAGACTCTGCTTAAATGTGCGGGTTTAGCTATCTGGAAAGGTAGGAGTGAGAGGCAAGGTTGCACCACTTTTCTTTCTTCTCGATGAATTCCGCAAAGTATCCGAATTCAATGGGGGAATCGATTTTTTCTTTAACAATCCTCAGGAGACGAGTTTCCCTATCGGACACCGGATGTTCTGGGATTCATCGAGGTGAAAGTGTCCACGCCACCTTTTCGCCACTTGATCATGCGCGCCTGGCGACGATCAATCTTGTTCGATTCTTTTGTGTGCAAGGTAAATGTCCCAATAACTAAACTAACAAGAAACACGATCAGTTTCGCGTTTTTATTAATAAGTAATTAGCGAAATTACAAGGAAAACTAACGTTTATACAAAACCTTGGTTTCTCAGCGATGGCGTGAGGGAAATAATACTAGGAAATAAAATAATCAATAAATATCAATTATAATTCTAATGAGATATATTAGATAATGCCATTGTTATTAGTTGTACCAGTAATTAAACTGAAAAATGAGTCATGTCCTAGTGACTGAACACAATACAGACTTAGTAATCGAATGATCATTAAATAATATTACAAATTGATGGGAGGGAGCGAGGGAAGCATAAAGAAATACCTTTTGATAAAATTTCAAAGACTTCTTTAGTGATATGAAACACAAATGTATTTTTAATGTTTCAATCGTTGGGACAAGGTTTAATTATTAGGACATTTACCTAATGTAGCGTCGAAGATTCGTCAAGCAACGCATCGCACGTTCGTTAGATCGTCATATTTATCAAGCTTGCGACCAACAACGCGTTGATCCCTTTTCGTCTCGGTCGTCCATTACGTTTGTACATAGCGCTATATTGTATAAGAGAATCCTCGTAGGAAGGACGAGTTAGAGGTAAGAGAGCAATTTTACTAGCGGGTTTACGTAGAGCCGGCAGAGTCGGGGTAGGTGCGAGAGGGGCGCTAGGAGAGGAGATTAAAAGAGATTGATCAAAATGTTCGAGAGTTAGGCGGCTTGTCGGAGATCAATCCGTTAAATCCTCGATAGTTCCTTTTTCCTATCTCTATAACGAGAACGATTGCTGCGATTTCATTATGCGGTATGTACGACGAGGAGCGCTCGCTCATCACCGTCGACTACACAGGCGCGCCTCCTGGTACATTCCGCATAAATATATTTATATACCCACTCTGCTCTTTCTCTCTCTCTTTCTCTCTAGAAATGTATAACTCGTTCATCGAGAAAACGGTCGGGGAGGAGTCGTTTTGTTACATATTAGGGAATACAGCGTGTCCGTAGAATCGGTGTCTGTCTCTGTCCGGAGCAGCGATGAGAAGTTTACTACAATCTTTTTACCTTTCCTAATCTTTTTACCTTCGTATCATCGAATGTTTGAACATTCGAAGGAACGCTCAGGGTTTCTGTCGGAGTCGGGTCTAATCAATTGAAAGAAAGGAAAACGCTCGACGATCTATTAGCGATATTAGATTCCGTTTGTGTGGTGCATTTTGTTTCTTCTGCCAGTGAAGTCGCTTGATTTATGATCATTCTCTTTCTTTCTCTTTCTCGACGTATAATTCTATTTGTGTGTTTCTTCAGCGTCTAATCTCCATTTGTATCCATGCCTCCAGTAAAATTGGTTCTAATATTAAGCCGAGACTTCTCTAGGAAATACATAGACTGATTATTTAGTTAAAGATATTGGTGATTATAATCATATCCTCTATAAAGGGTTAGTTAGACAATGTTAGTTTCAATTAGGAAATGAATAACCATGACTTCGCTTCAAGGACAGGCCGGACTTCTACGGGCACCCTGTGTCGCTCCGACCGAACCGCGAGAAAGCTGTTGCTCGGCAGTTAAGAAGAAAAACAGAAAGGAAAAAGAGAAAAGGAAGAGTATCGCGACGAGTCGCGCATCCGACGAGAATTGAACGAATTAATATCGACCGATCGAGCAATCAGCCCGCGCATAGTCACTCTAAAGTCTCAAAGCATCGTTTCAACGTCTACTTATCGGTGCTACCAATGTACTACCATTGTTTTCGCATCTGTGTATGTATCGATTTTTCAAATAAAATGTTAATTTTATTATACATAAAGTCCGTGTGTGTACGCATGCGCATGTGTGTGTGTGTGTGTCTATATGATCACTCGTTGAAAAATCCCATCTTATGAATCCGCAGAATCTCCATGAAATCCCGCTAATATAATTGAGATATGTGATTAGTCGAGAAGAATTCGATATGATTTTCGAGTCTGAGTTGATTGCATCCAAAGTAAACAAATCATTCATAAGCCAAGCCGGTTTACAGTCAATTACCTTGAAAATCAAACCAAACATTTTCCAACAACTGCACGATTTAACAATTATAACACAGAATATACACATATACACGCACGCGCACACATAATGAGCGTACACGAAGTTCTAAAAAAAGTAATTAGGTCTTTACGAAATTTTTTTGATTTATTTGGCTCTGTACAGATTTGCTACAAATTCATTATTATTAATAATACCATCGTATATTTGTAACGGTGTGGGTAAATGATGCTCGCATCTGGGCTGGATCTCTCTCCTTCTCTTTCTTCCTTTTTTGCTCTCTCTTCCTCTCTCTCTCTCTCTCTCTCTCTCTCGCGAGTCCCGGAGAGACCAATTCGAGAGCCCAGAACATCCCAGAACTTAATCGTAGGTTTTTACTCTCTTTTGTTTTTTTCCTCTTTTGTTGCTTCGTCGGGCTTGCATGTGTACATACATATACATACATACATATATGTGTGTATGTATATGTTTATATAGGTCTGTATTCGATCCCCGACGGTCGTTTTATCGATTACACCTCGAGCATAAACTTCGTTACATAAGCTTTGGAATACCCGTGGACTTAGGTACGGCGGCTTTTACAATAATTTAGTACGGGAAACCTTGCGGTTAAGCACGTCGGTCGACAAGTGGATGATATAACTATTACTTACTTAGTTCTTCTTCTCTTTTTTTCCTTTTTTGTTTATATAAACGATGTCGAAAGTTACGATGTCCGAAAATGAAAACCCATTCTTCTCTTCTCTTCCTCCCCCTCCTCCCTCGCCCCTTCTTATACTTCTCTCTCCGCAATATTCCTTAGAAAAAACATCCGATAAATACTGTGTCGTAAATTGGCGAGATAGCTAAGAATATCCTTTTACGTCTAGTTTCCTTACGTCTAGTCGATCTACGCTGTCGCTTTTACATGCCGGGTGCGCCGATATCTTCAAAAAAAAGAAAAAAAACATTGACAACATACGTACAATTCGTTCCATGGATTTGTGATGTCTCAGACATATAAGAAGAAAAGAGACACGAGAAGCAAAAGGGGAAAAACTTCGAAAAAAAGAGACAGACAGAGAGAGAGAGAGAGAGAGAGAGAGAGAGAGAGAAAAAAGATATTGGTGCACCCTGTATAATAATTATTGAAATAAAAAAGTAAACATCCAACGTGGAGCGTAATTTATTTAAAAAACTAAACAAAGTCGTAGAGATAAACGATGCAATAGCTCGCTCGTAAGACGATGCTTTCGGCTATCACGAGGAACAGCGCCACACTGTCGTCTCTCCCGCGAGCGGAATATCGGATCGCCCGAATCGAGAGATCGAACCGACCGATTTGAACTAACGCGATTCAATTTTGTGCCGTGTTTACAGCATGCGACTTTGTTTAGCTTTAAATAAACCGAAGCTTGAGCTTTAATTCTGTCAGGCGGAGTCCGGCTTTAGCACGCCTCGACGAGCCGCGCGCGTAAACGCGGCTACACAGACGCTGTAATATTAATATTGCGTTGCATCAGTTTCCGGCTGTGACCTTAGATTCACACGTGAAAATGCACACGCGCCGTTGCCGATGAATCGTTCAGCCTTCACGTTATATTTTTATACAGGATGAATCGCGCTAAATATAAATTATACTGTTACGCGCGGCTCTATCAATCGAACGCCGTCAAAAGGGTAAAGCGAAGGGCTTGACTTGAGAGAAAAATAACAAAAAAAAAATAAACACACCATGTTCAGCGAAATTTTAAATTAGTTTATCGTTGCGAACTGGAAAGAAGAAAAGAAGAAAAACATAATCGTAAAACTGACGTGGCCGGATTCTCCTCGAAAAGGATCCGACTTCGAGCAAATAGGCGCAGTTGTACTTAAAAAAGAAAAAAAATATAGGATAAATTAACAAAAAAAAAAAAAGAATTAAAGTGCAAAAATCAGTAAACTCGCGCAACTCGTTTAGCAGGCAATCTCTTCGAACGTTTGTGTGCCTCTCATCTAACAGAGTGGCTCGCTCGCCTGCAATTCGCCTTATTAATTACTTACAGAAGAAGATTCGCGGTACATACAAGAAAATTTACAGATTTCACTCGAGGAAACCTCAGTGAGTGGCGAGGAAGAAAAAGAGAAAGGCGTTCTCTTCGCCGCCACTCATGAGATTTCACGACGATATACCTTACGTAACGATCAATATTTATATATATAATATATATATAATATATATATATATATATATATATATATATATATATATATATATATATATATATATATATATATATATATAT